CATAGAAAAGTCTGGTTGCTGTTGTTCATAGTATGTGATCCGCACGTGTGGAGCTTCACACTTTTTACTGAATGAACTGGAATTTGGATCGAAGATTTTTTCAAGCAATCACGCGGTACGATATGTCTGAACGTGGACATTTCGTTTTCAGCCCAGTTTCATGTTCCCTTCATCATCATCATCATCATTAGCAGCAGCAGCAATGCGCCATTAATATTCATAATGCTATTAAATGGAAATATTTCATATCGTTGTCAGCGTACTTCCACGTCTGAATCCCAGCTGAACAGGCGTAAGTCTAGCAGCTAGGAAACTCGTGATTTTATCATTGGAGAAGCCAGCTACCTATCATTCAGTTTATTTCTGTACCGGTAATAGACCAGCTATTTTTTAGCCAGCAAAGCTTACGCGCATTGAAATATTGCCTGCTTTTATTTTCCGAATACATATCGGTCAGTATAATTGCAGTTTGGTTTCAAACATAGGTAAGTCATATGTAGAACCCGGAGATATAAACCTCAGTTCTGTCATATATTCAATCGCATTTGGAGCGTGCTGATTGTTGAAAAAAGTGAAAAGTGGCTCCCACGGCACGTTGCAATATTGGATACATAACAATTGGATGTATAAAGAAGTGACATGTATGAATTTTATCTTTTAGAGTTTTCAGTTATGAAAGCAATGGGCTCCAGCAATTAATAATCTATGATAAGCAGTCTAGATCTGCGTGTGATTACCCAAGCGCTCGACCAGTTCATCTACCAGTTGACCGCATTTGCTGCTTTGCATGCACACTAATTTACCTATGTCTCCCATTGTTAACATATTTACAGATGGACTTCGGAGACAATCATTTTTCATGTACTTTAATAAACAAGATCTTTAATGACGAGCTTAAAGAAGTTAAAAAATATTTTAAAAAGACATAAGGACTACTTAAGTCAGTGAAAATAAGATAGAACATGACCCTAATGTTCTGAGGTAACTGCAACCAATGACGGCTTTCCAATTTTGTCAGCAAATATTACACATTGCAAATAGCAATACCGGATTTACATGCTGAAATACCATCGCCTGATTCCTTCCAGTCGTCTCGGAAGAGTAACTGAGTAGGTAACGGCTTCGGCTTCATGGCATTTAAGCTCCTGCAGAGCGTCGGATACCTAAAAATTCACTATCTGTAATTAAAATATAATTTTTAGCGGCGGAATTATAAAACCATCATTTTGCAGCTATTTTGGAACATCAAGGTTACTTTTGTTTATATATTTATTCATTTACTCATACTTCAGCATTCCATGCACTACAATCGAGTTTAGAACTCCTCGCTACTGGAATCTGGGGGCATTGAGTTTACCCGGTGTAAACCGGCATCAGTAACTGAGTTGTTGGAAACATTGGAAATATTCGCCTTAGTTGTTCAGTTTTAGCATAGCAAATGGCACTCGCTAAATCAATGACCTTTATTGTAACTGGCTAGTAAGAGGACAGACAATGAGACGACTGTTTCCATCTCCCTGACTCATTCTGGTGAGGGGTTTCTTGTTCAGATGGAAGGGCTCTCAGTTGACCATTGCTGCAATGTCTGGACGTGTGATCAAGACGATATGGAAGATTTGCAAGGTGAAATGTCTTTGTAAAGTAGCATGGCAACTGCTCAAGGAAAAATCAAATGCCATCTGGATGAGTATGCTGAACATCTGGCGTTGTTCAACAAAGACATTCGGTCAGTAGAGTGTGAGTGATTGGCAGAAAACTCGAACGAGGAGATTTTGGAATAAGCGCCAGAATCTGCTGCCCAAATGATCAAAACGAGACCGAGGTGAGAAAATAAACTTTTAATTAATCCAGGGGTAAGCAGATACGTCGAGTCTTTTGAAAAAAAATAAACTGCATTGTCAGATCAGACTACGGACAACAATTGGACATAGAGGGCAACTTTAATTGAGGTGAGTGTAATTTGCATATAAAGATTTGTCGTTGAAAGAGAAGTCATCGAATTCGTGAGAAGATTCATTGTCATGCATGTCGTAGATGAGCATTGTATTTTACTTGGGAAAGTTTGTTTCAGAATGTGGCCAAAACGAATGGGGGAATGACTGCGAAAACTGCTGTTTTTGCGCGACTGGCTCTTGTGATCCTACAACTGGCCGCTGTCCCGGCGAATGTGGCAGATGTTGGAGAAATCCACCGTTTTGCCAGCAACGTATGAAGTAAAGCCGATATGACAGACGTGAGGAATGCTTTCATTTCAGGTGACCCGGCATGTCCCGTTGAACAGCCCAGGTGTGCCCTCAACGCAATTTCATTTTCCCAACCGGGACGCTGCGGAATAACGAGCATCCAGTGTCAATGTATGACTGGATACAAAGGCGACGGTTTCCACTGTGAAGGTTCGTTCATAATTTGCTTTTTTCTTAACTGAATCACCGATTTTCATCACTGAATTCTTTTCGATTAATAAATTTAATAGAATAACAGACAGCATTTAAGTTAATCGTTTCATTAGGATGTAGGAGGTGGAGGGTTTCGTATGACATAGAGGAAGAGACTTCAGCAATGAGACTACTTGAGGCTACTTAGCCCTTGTCGATTCTTTGTCGAAGTAGTGTGGAACACCCACGAATACCCCAACACCCATGCCAGGTGCAAAAACAGGGCACATGTAAACCTTGATCCTGAAACGCAGGTACCTGCTTCATGATCCTGTCATTGCAAGTAATGTGTGTCACACGACTCACAAGTCGGCGTAAAACTCTAGATACGTTATCATCCTGCCAGGAAAGGAACTCTCAAATTCATATGGCATGCATTCAGGGGCAGGTGAAAGTCAGTTTCTCGAATATATCGAACATCAGGCACTGTTACCCCTTCCCTTGATATTTGGCTACTATGGCTTGCCCAAGTATCGGAACAGTGAAAATTTCCTGCTGCGGCTGCTGGAGCAGCCTAAGTGAAATAACCATGGTAAAAATATTCATATTCACGGTGGATGAACGTTTGATTACCGTAGCAATAGATATTTATCAAGGAAACACCATATACAAAAATCGCTTCCATCTCTGCACAGTAATGTTACCAATATACTATCGCATAAATATAAAAATATGTTCATACACTTCAGCATGTTTTGTCGCTCATAACTTTTCGAAAGCCGATTTCACGGTGAACTGCATCGCCCTTGTCTTCTAGTTGCCTAAGATGGCTACTTAAGTAGGCCACGGCTTCACTGAATTTGAGCACCTACAGTGTCAGATGCACC